TGGAGTGCAAGAGGAAGTGATTTTTCAAGGATAAAGCAGGGGGAAATGGAGAACACATACAACATGCTATTTTCTCTACTTCTTCGCATGCCATGGCATACTCAAAATATTGATCAACTCTGTATGAATTGTTATTTTCTTGAAGGGATACAAAACCATGTTCGTGATCAACCTGCAACAGGAAGAACGGAACCTCAACATACCTCCAGGTATTCATCAGACATCTTTCTTCTTCTCACCAAGATGTACCGGTCATCATCTTCCTCTTCTGGTAAAGGACTAGGAGGACCTTCAATCAGGGACCTGGATCTTGTGTGAGGCCGCGAACTTCGGTCTGGATTCCTCCTCAAAGCACTTCTGGGCAATGAACGCCTTGGTCGCTTTGGTCCCTGGTAAAGTTTAAAAGCTCCTAATGAAACAGGCGAAACTCCAGACAGATCCTGTCCCTGCTGATGAATTCCTCCCCCAAAAGACATGCCTTCCTTCTATCTTTCCCAAAGATTAAGCCTGCCCCCAGTCCCAAATCAGAAAACACAAGTTAAAAATATCCCAGGTAAATTCATCTTGGGCATTCTGCTAGCTGCACAGAGATAGTCAAAAGCAAGTTTGTGTCCGTGCAGGTATAAGATATAATAATCCCCCCACCCCGACAATAGCAGAACCCCTGTCTATGAGGGGTTGCGATTTTTAACATTGCTCCCATCTTCACACAACTTACAGGTAAATTAGCACCAAAATTCATTACGCTGCTGATTCACAGCCCAACCTTCTTTAAGGACCTAGTTCCAAACATCAGGTTTTTTTCAAGGCTTCAAACTCATAGAACATTCAGGCTCAAGCTTCAAAGTCTGAGCTGCCCCCCTTATCTCCAGCTTTTGTACAAACACATATTTACCCAGCACCTTGTTCAGTTTTATTGGCCTGTGAAGACAACTAATCTTTATGAATTTATTCATTCTGCTTTATACAGTGGCAAATCAAAAGAGAATTGCACAACAAGGATACCTGTTTTAGGAAGTAATAAAATTCTGAACTGGACTTTGATTTACATGGTTTATTAAGCTTTTTAAGTGAGAGTCCTGTTTTTTGATGTCTGAATTTGACTCTCAGAAATCTGAAGGCAAGTATAGTAAGTTTATACTTACATGACTGATAGTTGGCAATGATTTTCTTCCATCAAAGATACCAGAAACGTTTTGCAACTCAGACATGAGTTTTGCAAGCTAACAAAGGAAAGAAAAAGGAAGCAGAGCCTTAAAAGGGTGTTTATGTGCTATTACAGACTATTAGATCAGGGCAATTGGCTAGAAGTATAATTACTTAGAGGAAATGTAGTCACTCTTCAACTTCCTACTTTTAAGTCTTATTTATGTTCTAGTGACTGCAAGTAATTTGAAAATGCTAGAACTTACTGTGTTGAAGCCCTATTCTTTAGGCTCATAGCCTATGGATTTTCACATGCCAGCAGACCTAAAGTATCAGATTTAAGAACTAGGAATGTAAATTCCTCTTAATGCATTCACATAATTCCCATTGGAGTTAATTTGAACAACCAAAGAGGTCACTTAAACAGTCCAAGTGGGTGTAGGGGTGGACAGGGGCGCCAAGGGAGACAGTGAGTACTTGCCATTGCTTTGTTTTCCTTTATGTTTAAAGCCCTTTTTTCTAAAAACACGGCACCCTTTTCTTCAGAGTCAGAGTCTGAATCTGGAGCAGGCATCAGCTGTTCAGGAAGAGGTTCCATCTCACCCTTCCTCCTCTCTGATCTTCGAGGTGGAAACTTCATGGCTACTCTTAGAGGAACAGGGCATTTCTGCCTTCTCTGAGCTACCTCATTCTTCTCTGAATCCGATTCCAATTTCTGTTAACAAACCAAAATGGAAGCCCATTAAATGCAAGTGAGTTGCTCTGTAATTAAATATAGTTCAACAATATTTTGTTTGGATGTGGTTAAAGAGGCTATCTGACCAAAATCTGGACATTTAAATCTCTGGTACTAGCATATTTTAAGGAGGGAGGGGGCAGGAGAAGAGAGGGGCATGGGTATAAAAAAAAACTCTCAGGGAGAGCCAGAAGGTACTGCCTCAACACATCAGAGAAAGGAGCTTGGTTTCAGTTGCAACAGCCTTAGCTGTCACTTGCAGGTCTAATAGCAAAGACAGTTTGTGTGCGAGTGTGAGAAAGGGAATTGCCTTTCCAGGGCTCGATTTTACAATATATTGTATTTGGCTGTAAAAAGAGCCACTACAAAGTTCTCAGCAGAGGGTCAAACCCAAGTTTGTAAGCTGTCAAGAACTGTAATCTCACAGTATCAACAATATCAAGTGAAAACTTCCTTCTAGACCTAGTTAATGAAATAATTATGAATAAAACCCCAGTATTTTCTTATCTTTGAATTCTGCTTACAACTTTTGCAAGAACCATTAATTTCAGTGAGGACAGAAATTAATTTCTTTAGTTAAAAGCCCATTTTTCAATAGGCTTTGACTTTTAGGTTTAGACTCAGTAAGATAGTCTTACTGTGGTCACAGGTAACAACAGGCTTCCTGCTTCATATTCATAGACCATCAGTCTTAAATGGCAATCCTTATTTGCACAGGGTTTTTCGTAAATCAGGTATGTGTTTCTGATTGCCCATTATGCGCAGGCATCGATTCCTTTTTCTTAAGTATCTATTCCAGCTTTGTCTCCTACTTATTCTCTTTACTGCTGTGTATTATTTAACTCAGACACATCCTGTTCCAATCAGACATTATTCGTTTCTAGGCATCCCTCAGCATGCTCTTAAGTTACGACAAACCTATTTAATGCCAAACATGGTACAACTTCTGTCTTCTCTACTACATACCAACTGTTGGTCTTTTTAAGCAATAAAACTGCTCTTGCACTGACGTCAAGGAAAAGCAGGAAGGGGTATTTCACCACCTATCACTATTTCTTTACTGCTAAAGTAGTACAGCATTTCCTGTCACACAGTCAGAGTGCAGATCTGACTGCATGTACACAGAGATTTTTCGCAGGTTTGCTGGAGTCCATAGGCTAGCGTAACATTTCATACCGAGGAAACCAGAAATGTTAGGGTCTAACAGAGTAACATCCAGCAAGGACGGTTTTAAGAGGTATTATATTCCAAACTAAAATCAACAGTCTTACCAATGCATCTTGAATCTCATTTTCTGAAAAGCCACAGAAGGATTCATCATCAGAGGCTTCATGAAAAATTTTTGCCAGTTCTTCTCCAATATCCGACCTAAACTTGCGTTTCTATGAAGAATAAAATATCATTTAACTGAAGTTGTACAGAAAATTATTCACTTTTACAAGTGCAGTATATCAAATAGCTTTTTTAATAAAGGAAAAAAAAGTTAAGGCATTTAACAAGGGGTTTCAGAACTGCAGTTGCAAATTATCAGGCATGTTAGGTTAGGTGACATTTCAAAGGCTAGAATAAATAGCTAATCTGTTTCCAACAATTACCACCTAGAAGCACAAGTGAAGAGTGAAATGAAATTACAGCTTACAGCATAGATTTATAACTACTATACAAAAACATAAGCAGAGCAAGCAGTTTTAATCATGCACAAAGCATTTCCTAGCTTTACCAGCTTCACATTTTTGCAAGCCTTACTAGCACTGCAAATTCAGTTTTATTTGTTCTTTTACTGTACTTACCGTGTTTGCAAAACTATCAGAACCAAAACTGTCACAACTGTCATCGGAGGATGAGGATGTTTCCATAGGAATCAGTTTCGTATTTCGGAATGATGTGAAGTTTCTCCTTCCTGAACAACCTCGGCGCTGCAAAAAGGACAACACCATTAATAAGAGACCTACTGTAGCACACTCGTGAACATCCTTAAATTGAAGTTTAGGAAGTTTGAACATTTTAGGATGTTTAACAGTCTTGAACACAAGTCAGCAGAATTATCATCAGCTTTGAAATAATTCCTAAAGCTAGAAATGGGAATAGCTTCTGCTCTGATAAATTTCTGATCATTGTTATAAATGAGTTTTGTTCAGTATTTAGAAATACTTCTTTTATGCAAACGGAAATAGACACGAAAGTCCTATCATCAGCTTTGAAACAACTGTCCCAGACACAACAGCTCCCTGTTTTGCTGATCTTATTACGAAGTTTAACTACCTTTTTTGATGGGCTTCCGGTTTTCATTTCCTAGGGAATGCTCCTGCTGGCAACGACCCATCTTACCTCCCCCTGAGCGGCAGCGAGCCGAAGGCCAAGCGTGCCGCACCCACACTTCCATGCTGCCTGAATCGACTGCTCTAACCGTTACCAGCTCGCAGGCCCAGCTGACTGGGCCAGGTATTTTATAAATACGGTTTACAGCGTAACTAGCCAGGCCACTTGAAAGAGCTCCGTCCTCTCCCTAGCACCGTT